AGCTCTGATTCCAATTACTACAGGCCGTATCTCCCTTACACTATTGTGAGCCAAATAAGATTTTACAATTTTGGTCCATCTGTGGGGAAAAGTGTACCCTTGGTTAGTTAGATAGCTGAATTAGGGTTAATGAAAATAATACCAAAGACTATACAAGTATTCAGACTTATCTAGTAATAAAGGTAGATGTCAAAAAGCAAAAGATGGAAAAATTGAAGTCCAAATCTCGGGCCAAATATTACACCAATGAAATCTGCAGCTCAATTTGGGGGGGGGGGGGAATGATTTCTAACATGAATGCATTTGTTAATTATAGGTGTCATCAGATATTTAAAGATACTAGAGAGAAAAGTCCAGATGAGGGTTAGAATCAGGGGGTGGGCTTCAAGGGGTGGGCTTCAAAGATTTTAGCAAGGGGTTCTCTGCCCGGTTGCTGGGTGGGTATGGCCATGTAGGCGTGGCCTAGTCGCCCTCCTGCACCATGGCGGGGGGGTTGCCCTCCCCAGGCTCCAGAGGCTTTCCTCAAGCCTCCAGGAGGGCGAAAACGGCTTCACCCGGCTCCGAAGACCTTGTAAAACCGTTTTCGCCCTCCTGGAAACAGGCCAAACTTCCGATAGCCTTCCGGTAGGCCTGTTTTTTGCCCTCCCCAAGCCTTCGCGCACACCCTGCACTCTACCTGCATCCAAAACGGGCCGCGTAGGGACTCCTGGGAGGGGTGGGGCCGGGTGGACGGGGCCAGCCAGGAGTGGGATTTGGGGGTTCTCCGAACTGCACAGAATCTTAGCTAGAGGTTCTCCCGAACCCCTCTGAACCCCCACAGCCCACTCATGATTAGAATCTGCTTTCAAAGCTTAGAAAGCTCATCTCAGGAATATTCTGTCTACAGAATGGATAGGAGACAATGTGGTAAATTTTCTAATACAGGGATCGCCCACCCCCAGTCTGTGAACAGAGGCCAAGCTGTGCAAACAAGCGAAGCCCCATCCGTAGGATGCAGGCAGCATGCAAAACCACGCTTCCTCTAGTCCATGGAAAAACCTCTCTCCACAGAATCGTTCCTGTTGCCCAAAAGGTTCTAATAAACCATTTTGCAAGAGTAAATTGTCCTCCTAATGGTGACTAAATTAAACCATTACTATTACAACACTGGGAAGTATTAGCATAGAGTTGTCACCCTGCTTCCCATTTCCAAAGAGCAACATGGTACTTCCTTGGAAGGATATTTCTGTTACATACTTCATTAACTTCCTGATGGGTAACAGGGCTCTGTGAAGTTTGACCATGACAAAAATCAGAGGGGAAGTTGAATTGTTTTTCAATTAAATCTGACAGTACTGGCAGCGAGAGGCCTCTAATACTGTAGGAGGCAAAGAGAACACATGATACTCTTTCAGAATCTCTGGATGAGGGTGCAGAACGGTGATCAACAGCTTGTAAAATCCATGTGACCAGAAGCAAAAGAAATCTGGTGGAATGTTTGGCAGAATCAGACGTACAATAAACCAAAACAACTGAGCAATTAAATGCATTTTACCTCATGGGAAATAAATGATTTAGAGAAAATGTTCAGAGTTCAACTTTTAGGATTACCTGATTTCTCCTTAACTTGAAAATTATCTTTCACCCAGGAATTTTTAACTTCACAGAATATTATTTTTAGCTAATTAAAATTAAAACTGGCAGACTACCAGTTGAACTTGCCTTAAGAATAGAATAGAATAGAATAGAATAGAATAGAATAGAATAGAATAGAATAGAATAGAATAGAATAGAATAGAATAGAATAGAATAGAATTCTTTATTGGCCAAGTGTGATGAGTCCTGCTTGGCAGGCACTCACTAAAAGATATAGAAATCCTGAAGAATTAAGATTTATTTTACATTGCTAATGTAGACTAGCATTCATCTTCAAACTAACCTGACTGAGAAGATAAGTGTGTGTGTGTGTGTGTGTGTGTGTGTGTGTGTGTGTGTGTGTTATTTGAATACAGTACAAACAAAATGTGGCAATCAGAAATGAATGCACTGCCTAGTAAAACAGATTTGCAAAATAAACCTTTAATCGAGCAATGTCCAAGAGGGCATGTTGTGACTGCAGCTACTACAATTCTCTGCTCTAGAATCTATTTAGATGTCACAGCAGAGAAACCTACTTTACAGCTTACCCGTCCGTATCGAAATTTGGGAGGGGAAGAAAAGAAAACATTAGTTTTTGTTTTTTCTTCAATGTAAATATCAGGCAAATGGCTAGAAAATACTCCAGTTCCATTCTATTTACTTCTTCACTGTCCAACGCTATTTGTACAAGCGTCTCCTCTCCAAGATATAAGCACTGGTAATATAGTTTTTAAAGTAGGCCAGCATTTTATTTCCGCAACTCGGTCCTACTCTGTATTTGTTTGTCCTGCTTATCAAAGGGAGCTTAATGTGAGATAGAGAATGGGTAATGTCTTCTTTCTCTTTTCCCTGCCCCCTCATCCTCCCAGCAGCTATAAAATAGCTCAGCCCAGCCAGAACCAAAAGCTCAACAAAGCTCCCACATCCCTGCCCCCACCAGCTCCCATCTTCCATTCAACCAAAATGGGCCACTCAGGCAGAGCAGTCCAGGAGTTACAAATAGGCCAGACAGGAATAAACAGAGCAAACAAAGAATATCCTGTCCACTCGGAGAAAAGCTCAAGAAAGTGATGTCTCCATTAAAATTCAAGGCAGGGAAGCTGCACGCACCCTGTCAACAGCTTGGCTAATAAAATGAAAGTTGGGGCGGGGGGGGGGGGAGGGAAGGCTTATAGAGGAAGAAATAAAAGCTTATGAAGATATGCTGATAAAACCAAAATTATTGCAGCCAATATTTTTACAATATTATAATTTCAGTCATCCGTTGCAACGAAGCAGAGCACAAATTCAAACCACATGCCCCCATCACCACCATTAAGGGACCCCAAGTCCCATTCACTTTTCAAGTACATCCATTTGGTAGCATTCTCAAGATCATTTCTGGGGCTCAGTGGTTTAGCTATGGTTTCTGAGGCTGTATGAGATTTTTTTTTTTTAATTTGATTTATATGCCGCCCTTCTCCGGAGACTCAGGGCGGCTTACAGTGCGTTAAGCAATAGCCTTCATACTTTTGTATATTTTATACAAAGTCAGCTTATTGCCCCCACAAATTGGCTCCTCAATTTACCTACCTAAGAAAGGATGGAAGGCTGAGTCAACCTTGAGCCTGGCGAGATTCGAACTTCCTTTAATTGCAGACAGCTGGTGTTAAATTACAGTGCCTTGTCTGCAGAGCTATCCAGATTATCCAATGTTTGTTGAGATGATTTAAATAAATAACTAGGAGTAGGAGAGGACAACATCTCTGATTTAAGGGGTGGTGTTGAATTTGGGGCCCATCTGAATTGCAAAGCTGAGGAGCCATCCTACTGACATAGAAATGCATTGCTTACCTGATTTGCAAGCTTCTTCCCCAAATGCTGACATTCTAAATGTAAACAAACCACTTCATCTGTTTTGCTCACTTTTGATTAGCACTTGTGTAAAATTAACTGCTGAGGAAGCTTTAAGCAATACTACTTAGAAGTTAATGCAGGTTGCAAGGTTGAGGAGAGAGGCTGTACATATTCCCGTTCCTTATCTCTACCTGTATTCACTTTAAAGTTTAAAAAGAACCTATGTACATATATCTTTACATGGGTTGAGCCATTTTGCACAACTTCAACAAGTGTAATACATTAGCCAGAACAGGATCCATTTATTTTAGCTGTATGTTTGAGACACAGAATTAGTGTCTTGGTGTGAATTAATGAAGCATGAATAAGAATGGATATAAAGCACCATCGCCAAATAAGCACAAGAGCACTGATGCTAAGAGAAATAAAAAGGAAGACAGGGAAGTAGATATCTTGTTGAATTATCTCTTCCTGTGAAAGCCATTGAAACAACAGAATATATCTACACCTCTACAATTCAGAAATTAGAATAACCTCATTGAAATTCTGACGTTCCAGCTGATTTTTCAGTCTGGATTATTGCGATACTTGTAAGTAAACAATGTAAACTATAAGGTGGTCAAAAAGCAGGATAAATAGGGTTTCCTTAAAGGTAAAGTTAAAGGTTCCCCTCGCACATATGTGCTAACCTGTTTCCCCCAAAATAAGGCATCCCCTGATAATAAGCCCAATAGGGCTTTTGAGCGCATGGCAATAAGGCCAAGCGCTTACTTCAGGGTTCAAAAAAATATAAGGTAGTCGTTCCCGACTCTAGGGGGCGGTGCTCATCTCCGTTTCAAAGCCGAAGAGCCAGTGCTGTCCGAAGACGTCTCCGTGGTCACGTGGCCAGCATGACTAAATAGCAAAGGCGCACGGAACACTGTTACCTTCCCACCAAAGGTGGTCCCTATTTTTCTATTTGCATTTTTTACGTCCTTTCGAACTGCAAGGTTGGCAGAAGCTGGGACAAGTAACGAAAGCTCACCCCGTTATGCGGCACTAGGGATTCGAACCACTGAACTGCCGACTTTTCGATCGACAAGCTCAGCGTCTTAGCCACTGAGCCACTGCGTCCCTATAGGGTTTCTTTAATAATGTCTAAATTCAATCATTCATTCAATCAGTCAATCAATCATTTTTATTTATTATTACATTTCTGTACTATCTCCTGGGGGGGGGATGTGAAATGTTTTTTAAAATGTAAGAGGAGACAAGAAATTAAAATTACTTAAAAGGCAAAGGGAGGGATTTCAGGGGACTAATCAGCCCCAGGGCTTCATGCTCCCTTGGGCTCCTCACATGAGGCCAAAGAGCCATGTCTTAACTCCGTTTCAGAAGTCCAAAAAAGTGAGGGCCTGTCTCACCTCCAAGGGAAGAATATTCCCTAGGGTGGAGGTGAAGGCAGAGAAGGATCTTTTCCTAGATCCTACCAGTTGGAATTCTTTAACTCACAGGGTCTGCAAAATATTTTTCCTGCCTGACCAAATGCAAATCAAAAGATTTCTTACCTCATGAAAATATAGCAGATTTCCAATGAAAGGCAAAGGTGGAGGATGACGAACTCCCACTTTATCAAGCCTGGAGAATGAAGAGGTGGTATGCCTGGATTTAAAAAAAAAGTGAAAAGGTTTTCACAGGGTTTTCAGAGTTGGAGAATAAGGCTCAGAATTCAGGTGAGAGGATAGCTGTGAAGCCCAAATGGCGCAGCAATCATAAGAAACTCCCACAGCCACTTGCAGTGCAAGATGGGATTGGAACCTTTCGTTCCATTTTTATTCTCAAATTTGTGATTGATTTACTTCAGAAAGGCTGTTGAGTCAAGCTCTAGATCAGGGGTGTCAAACTCATATCGTCACGACGGTGTCACGTGACGTATTGGAACTTTTTCCCTTTTGCTAAATTAGATGTGGGTGTGGCCAGCGTGTGATGCATCCGGCCCGTGGGCCGGGAGTTTGACAGCCCTGCTCTAGATACATGAAATAAAATCAGATTCTCAGTCTTCAGTAGTCTTAGATCGCCCCAATACTAATAATGGCCTTGGTAGATTCTTTCTATCATACAACATTGTGAAATCCAACCCTATTGATCTTACTAGATCAGCCTTCTGGTGTCTGATGAATAATTTTGATTATGGCCTTCGTGGGCCATGCAAGCTGTAGATTTATGGAAATTATCATCTAACACAGCTGGAGAATGCTACACAGAGAAAGTCATTTTAGATGCCTTCAGTACAACTCAACAAGATCTGATGTTTATTTATGGAATTGCTTGCTTGCTTTCCAACATTTCTATCTAGTGCTGGCAAAGACACCTCAGGAGACAGTAATGGGAAAAATTAACTACTCTTTTTCCTTCATGGTATAATAGGAAATTCTGCTTTATATAACTTAACATTTTTCCTGGTACCATTAAAGCAGAGACAGGCAATCTGGTGGGAGAACATGAGCTATTCTGTGACAGGACACAACAACAAAAAACCACAGTGAGCAAGGAGGTGATTTACAGTGAAAATGGGATTTCCTATAAATACTTTCATAAAATTAGTTTTCTTCAATTTTGTGAGGAAGCAGAAACAAGTGCTGGCTGGTACTCCAAGCAGATGAGGATGGTTTTCCCATCATTGCTAAGTTTCAGATTCTTCTAGTAGTTTTCTCATAGAAGAGAGTTATTGCTCTACAACTCTTTCTGTTAGCTCACATTATCAGAAAACTATTCAACGGGTGTAAGAAAGGACAGGCCAGACAAAGGCTTCAAAGCTGCTCGTAGCCCTACAAGCTTTGAGTAGGGTACTATAGATACCATCCAAAGGTCACCAAGAAATTGTCATTTTTAATATGACAGAAATTAAATATAGAAATTAAATTGTTATTAAATACAATAGATGCAAATTTGAGGGGTTAATCAATCATCAATCAATTATTTAATCAATAATCAATCCAGCAGTGAACTCCAACTTCTCTTTCTCTTCCTTTGCATCCCCCTCCTCCTCTTTCTCCTCCTCCTCCTCCTCTTCATATTCCCCAAGCTCTGCAAAGCTGGATCAGCTACATGCAACCTTCAACATTGTACAGCTGCACCAGATGTGCTTTGACTACTGCTACTGCTCAGATATTAATCCAAGTTAAAACATAGTTGGAAGATGAAATATGGGATTTTGCATTAGCAGATGAATAAGTGTTGAATAAGGCAGGTTGTAGTGCTTGCAAATCCCCATCAACTGGATTTCAAGAAGTTTTCATATTACAGAACATGTGTAAGGAGTAGTAATTTTGAAGTTTAAGAAACGATTGAGTAGATCCTAGCTAAATATGTATCCTGATGAAAGCAAATATTAGTCAATGTTAGTACCCTAAAAAGCAAATTCAATAGGCATAATTTTCTTATTTTACTGAAGCTAGGGACACATATGATTTTACACATTACTTGTCTTAAACATGTTGTAGAGATCAATTCATCCATAATATTAGATATAAACCATGGTTTATAAATCATATTATGACATAGCATAGAATGTGAGATTAGTCTCTGTTTACGACCCTTCTTTCTTTTGGTCTTCTGGTTGACAATGACAGAAATGTCACTTTTCCATAAATCACAAAGCAATGGGTTATGAATCACTCTGTTGACTGTTCAAATTTACCAGTCAACAGTAATATGTGGCAAAATCTGGGACAAATGTTTCACCAAAGCTACAAAGATATTTGCTACACACCAGCCAGTGGATGATATATATTAAGGTGCCCCCCCTCATTCTATCCAGTGTGTCCTAATTAATTCACTGTCAGCCATAAGAAGTCCTGTGACTAAAAAAATGATAATTATTTATTTATTTATATCATGCAGAAAATTTACCAGGTACTAAATAACATCAAAATAACATCACAAATATATTTTTACACTTTCTTCAATCTCTGACAGAGGGAAACAGATACACTTGCTTGCTGTATATTTAGTGAAACAAAGAATGGAATGGAATGGAATGGAATGGAATGGAAGGAGTGGAGTGGAGTGGAGTGGAGTGGAGTGGAGGGGCGGGGCGGGGCAGGGCGGGGAATAGAATAGAATAGAATAGAATAGAATAGAATAGAATAGAATAGAATAGAATTTTTATTGGCCGGGTGTGATTGGATACACAAGGAATTTGTAATTAGTAATGAATTAGTAATTAATAATAATTATTATTATTATAATTATTATAATTATTATTATTATTATTATTATTATTCACTGGAAATTGTGCCAGAAGTTTGGATTTGAGTACAGCAAAAACCACTGGGAACATCAGGTTGAGAAAGTTTTAGAGAATGAGAAACTCAAGATATTGTGGGACTTTAGGATTCAGACTGACAGGCACTTGGTCCACAACACACCTGAAATAACAATAGTTGAAAAGAAAAAAGTATGGTTCATTGACATACTTTGTGGTGATGCACGGATTGAAGATAAGCAGCAAGAAAAAAATCACAAAGTACCGGGATTTGCAAATTGAAGTTGAGCGACTGTGGAAAAAGAAATCGTGTGTTGTCCCAATTGTAATTGGAGCCCTTGGAGCAATACCCAAAGGGCTACCCCGCTATTTAGAAATTCTAAATTTGCCGGACTTGAACATTTTGACTCTACAAAAAACCACCTTACTCGGAACAGCTTATATCCTCCGACGATACCTTAACAGTTCCTAGGTCCTTGGTTAGGACTCGAGCTGCTGAGCTATTAACCAGCCTCAAAGGCTGTGAATCTCACTAAAGATTAACCAATAATAATAATAATAATAATTTTATTTCTATACTGCCCTTCTCCCGAAGGACTCAGGGCGGTGTACAGCCTGATTAAAAGCACAAAGACAAACAAAATTTAAAAATAATTAAAATTATTAAATAATTGGCTCAATTATAAAACCCCCAAATTTAAAATCCCACATTTAAAACCAATTAAAATCTTTACATTGATAGCCCGGCCTGGCGGAACAACAAGGTTTTGAGGGCACAGCGAAATACACGGAGATCAGAGATCTTACGCATTTCTGGGAGCAGTTCATTCCAAAGGGCAAGGGCTCCCACAGAGAAGGCCCTCCCCCTGGGTGTCGCCAGCCAACATAATTTGGCCAATGGCACCCTGAGGAGACCCTCTCTGTGGGAGCGGACTGGCCGGTGGGAGGCTACTGGTGGCAGAAGACGGTCTCGAAGGTACCCAGGTCCAATGCCATGGAGCGCTTTAAAGGTGGTAACCAACACCTTGAATCGCACCCGGAAGACCACTGGGAGCCAGTGCAGCTCGCGCAGGAGGGGTGTCACGTGGGCACAACGAGTTGCACCCATAACCATTACCATAGTAATGAGAATTAGTATTGAGGAAACCATAATGAGCTAGCCACGATTATAACACGCTCCAAGGAATTTCTCCACTAACAATATCTAGCTATACCTTACTGATACTAAAGCATGTTTAGTATTATCTTTCGAAAAGTCTATATATTTTGGCAGATATCAATCTCATTCTTGAATATTAAAGATAAGTGAAATTGCTGAACCCACTGTCAACCATAGTCTGAACTTAACAGTGATTGTCACATGGTAGCAGAATTACAGGGTGATCTTCCCTTCTTAGGGATTAATCCGTTAATGACTAACACTGAATATACAGATAGTCCTCGACTTACGACCACAATTGAGCCCAAAATGTATGTTGTTAAGTGAGACATTTACTCATTTGTTAAGTGAGTTTTACCCCATTTTATGACCTTTCTTGCCGCAGTGGTTAAAAGAATCACTGCAATTGATAAGTTAGTAACAGGGTTGTTAAATGAATCTGGCTTCCCCTTTGATTTTGCTTGTCGAAAAGTTGCCAAAGGTGATCACATGACCCTGGGACACTGCAACGGTCATAAGTATGAGTCAGTTGCCAAGCATCTGAATTTTGATCACATGACTATGGAGATGCTGCAACAGTCGTTAAGTGTGAAAAATAGTCATAAGTTCCTTTTTTCAGTGCAATTGTAATTAAATGAACTGTTATAAATAAGTCAAGTGCTAATTCACATGTTGCAATGATGTGAATAAACAATTATACCATAAACCATGAACCATGGTTCTATAAATCATCGTTTATAAACAGTGGTTCATATAACATGCAAAACTATAGCCAAACATACCATATCATGGCTTAGTGCAACTAAGTGGCCTTATTTGGCAAAATGGATGATATTATATAATACAAGAAGGAAAAGTCTACTACTATTTTATTTTATTTTTTTGACAAAAAATGGGCAGATTAATATTTTGAAAAGATAATATTAGGGCAAATTGAAACAAAAAAAACATGTAAATTGTATATAAAAGGAGGGCTTTTCTAATTGTCTTAAAAGATGTTACATTCATCCTGTTTTTTAAAAAATAGAAATTTTACAAAAAGTGACAATATGGTGGAAGTTGCAATTCTGAAATAGACCAACTTTAAATTGATTTGATATCTCTGAGTCCAGATATCACAGCCCAATTCCCCAAACGAAATCTCCTAATCACATGTACAGAAGGAACATAACATACAATTTTTTCTTGATGAGTTCTGGATATGTACTTTCTCTTGCTTTGTACGCTCTTAACTCA